GAATGAGATTTTCCTTTGCTTTCGATCCCGTCGCTGAGCTCCTGATTCAAACGACAATCTGCCACGATACGTACGAAATACATTAGCAGAACCGTGAAAAATGCCCGCTCGTAACGGCAAAATTGATGGTCTCGCAAACCGTAGCTTCAGCACGATAAAAATCTCAAATCCATCATCGCGGATATAACGACGAATGCAGAGAATTCAAAATTCGCATATAGAGGAGAATCTTATTTTCACGAGGCGTCGTCTCTCGCATTCCCGTAAAACTCCGTGCTTTTATCTTTCGCGCGAGCCCCGGCAATTTCCAGGTAGATTCAAATACGATCAGGGACGTTCCATCCCGACCGGGACTCGGCATTATACAAATTAATTTATAATGATATAATGATGACGGCCGCGTACCTCCCGTATTCGTGGCGGAAATATTTGTGTCTACAATTAGATGGAGACGAAGGGACGTAAGGCCGAGGCGAAGTCGACGATTACACGGGTCACAAGATAAACTCGCTTACCGGAACACCCGAGATATTCGCTCGAGCTAATTATCTCCTATCGCTCGACCCGTCGCGTTATCCCTTCATTGTTTGCGATTCCCCGACAATCGAATTCGGCGACTCCATTCTCATCAGCCGTCATCTACTTTTTTCCCATTCGTCCGTATATCCCTCCTTCCTCCCGCCAACGCCCCACACTCACTCAAACTTATCCACGTGCAGCACGCCCATACCCGCACGCACGCACGCACGCACTCACTCACTCACTCACTCACTCACTCACTCACTCACTCACTCACTCACTCACTCACTCACTCACTCACTCACTCACTCACTCACTCACTCACTCACTCACTCACTCACTCACTCACTCACTCACTCACTCACTCACTCACTCACTCACTCACTCACTCACTCACTCACTCACTCACTCACTCACTCACTCACTCACTCACTTACTCCCTTGACGCACTTATAATGCACGGCACGCTCACGGTAATAGGGAATTCATGTAATTCTGAAGTGTTCAGAAATTTAGTCGATGCCATGCATTGCCAGACAATGCCAACTCGCGAACTTTTACAGACGCAAATACTATTGAATTTAATTTATACGTACGCACCTTGGTTAATTTTGCTCAGCCAAACTTTAAATCCTGCCCCTATTCGCAAATGCAGTTTACGAAAATTATCCATTTCTCTGACATTTGCGAATATGTAAAAGGGACCCCGCTTTCGTTATTAATAAATACATCTCCAACAGAATGTTTCACTTTATTAATATTATTTGTATGCCCTTACCATTCTTTCATTATTTATTTTTTTTTTTTTTTTTTTGCCCCCTTTTTTTATTATCATTATAATCATTATCATTATGATTATTGTTATTAACATTATTATACTAAAATCAATTGGAATGAACTTTCGATCAATCTTTTCATTTAATTGATATTTTTATTTTCCAATGCTATGCACCAAAATGCAGGTCGCGCCATGGTGTCGACATATTACGTTCTCTCTATCTATTCATATATATTTATAAAATATATGTATTATATTATCGGCATGCACAATATTATATTTTATTTGATCAATTAACTGCTTACCCGTGGCATTTAATTTATTTAGCTCACGGGCAAGTGCTTTGGCTATTTCTAACTTGCCCTCTTTAATCATTATTTATAAAATAATGAGACTGGAGATGTAGAAGTGAAATCAATAGGATTCCGTGATACGAATTGCCAATATGATTAATAATAATTTTAATGCTGTATAATATTGAGACAGGCAGTTAGTTGATTGAGCGAGAAATTATAAGCCAACGAAATAGAATATTTTGGAAAATGTTAGATATATATATATATATCGTTGTCACACGGTACTATTTATTAGTATTACTTTATTACTTTATACGCGAGCATAAAATGAATTTGCATACACGATCTACTGATTAAAATGAAAGCTCAAGTGCCTAATATGAGGAAGAGCACAACATAAAATACGGGAATTAGTGGAAAAAATTTAAAGCCACCCATAATGAACATTTTGGGATTCTTGAATTAAAATAGCTCGTGAGTGTGATTATACGACTTCTCGTTGCATCAATTTCTCTCTCTCTCTCTCTCTCTCTCTCTCTCTCTCTCTTTCGTTTATAATTAAAGCCGTTTACCTTCGAAAGAAAGAAATACGCGATGCATTAGCAATAATAGTAAAGCAAAGCTTTTAAAAAAGCCGTTTCACGGTCTCCCATGCGCCCGTGAATCGTCGCTAGCGGAATACGCGCAGCTCTGTAAATAGTAAAATACACGAAACGGAAATGCCTTGTAATATCATTAGATACTTTCATATAATTCGTTTCTCTTATACTCGATTATTTAGGCAGTCGGAGCCGTTATATTGTTAATCACTTAGAGCTGAATTCTTGCTTATTTGCATTTAAAATGAAAATACACTGTATTTATGCTTGGATTTATAGCAAACGAATAAAATGGCCAAAGTGCTGTGTATTGCAGGCAAATCGATCGCTCCGTTACAGCTGTCCCTCCCCCCCCCTGCCCCTGCCCCTGCCCCTGCCCCTGCCCCTGCCTCACCGATATCCCCTACCGCCGTTGCCGCGAGAGTAATCATTTTATGTGCGCGCATTGGGTGACCCATACAACAGCATTTTTAACCACGAATTCCGAACTTTAATTGGCGCCGCGGGCTTCTTCTAACGACAAAACCATTATTAACCGAGTCTCTCTCGCTGTCTTGTTGCAGAGGACGAGGGTGCGATCGTCCAGGGCGTCGTGACGGAGGATGGGCTGCTGGACGGGAGCGTGGTAACGGGCTTCGAGGAGTACTACATTGAGCCGGCCAGCAGATACCTTTCGGCGATGGGGGACACCTCGCCCGCTTACCACACGATCGCCTACCGCAGCTCGGACGTGGAGAAGCCACCCCAGCCCCTGCGGTGCCCCAGCCAGGATCTCGCCAAGGGCAACCTTAGGAAGTCCATCCGGAGGTCAGTCCCCATCCCCCGATCATCATCTTCATCCTTGGCATCATGTACTAGCGGCACATCGCTCATAAGGCTGGATTGCGTCATGCGCTTGCGCTGTTATCGCTCTTCTCTCGTCGACCATCCAACATCCGATTAATTAGCGTCGGAATTCCGTGTGATGATCGCAGCCTCGGAGATGCTGTCCTCAAAATCTCACTTTTTTATCATCTTCTTAAGCGGGACTATGGCCCTTTTAAAACTCCTCTAATGCTACTTAATCCTTTTTATGGCCTACCGCATTCGGGCATTGCCATTTCATTTCATTTCATTTTGGAATTTGTATTATGTCAATTCAAGAATGTATTTAACGCTTTTTTTGTACGCCTTTTTTGTATTTATTAAATTACGTATTATTTGATAAATATATTGATTGATTGATACAGCGCTGTAATAATAGCTTTTTCGTGTGTTAAATTATGTAGTATTGTGTTAGATGGATCGTTGTTACTTTATTTACTCACAATTATCGAGTTGTCGATGTAAATGACGTTTTTTTTTCCAATTTTAAAATGAATTGTAAAATTAAAGCCTCCCTTTGTCCAGATAATTAGTGAAGTTAACTGGGAGGAGTGAAATCACGTTTATAAAATGGCGGGCATATTAAAGGTATCGTCGTTAAAGAAATTTTTCATTTAATAATTACCGCAAAATTCACGATACCAAAAAAAAAGAATTACCACGCAAACAGCAAATGGGAAACGTTGCATAATATTAGAAAATATTACTAGCCGTGCAGTAAATTTTGCCGTATTGCACTTTACCTACCATGAACACTTTATCCACCATTAAATAAGATTCTTAATGCTTGTACCTAAAAAAAAAACAAAGAGAAACAAAGCATCAACAATAACAACAATATCGTCGTTGGAATATTATAGGATTGATTTTTAATATTAATATAGTTTATTGTACATTTTTCTATAAGTTATCGATGCACATAAATTGCATTATGAAAATTATGATTTAATTTGATTCATAAATTCTGAAATTATTTTAATGAAAAGTTTCCTAATTATATCGGCGAAAAAACTTTCCGGCACTTTTATCATTGGAGCTGCAAATTGTCGAACTGTGGAAAACCCTCGATATAATTAATTTTGCAGTTAGCGGCAGAATTTTGCCAATATGAATGAAACTTATACTTTTTTTTTTCTCTTTTTTTTTTTATATAAAATTAATTTGCTACAATTGTGATTGAAAGAAAGCTTCTCAACGCATTGAAAGAAATATACATTATTTGCTGCAAATGTCGAAGTGCAAAAAAAGATGTTGAAATTTCTGAGAAAAATTCCGCCTAGTTAGAAAGCATGACAATCTACAAGAAATTACAACTCCGTGCAATCATCTTTATGATAAAAAGTATTTAATTATGTACAGATAGGATGAGGTAATTAAGAAAAATAGACGAGGTTACTGCGGATATCGCGGGACACAAAAATAACACATAACGGTTATGCATTGAGCCAATAGCGATACCGTTAAATACGAGGCCCCTTATCGATGAGTCACGATGCCACTGCTGACCATTTATTGTTCAATCGAAATTACTAGTTTCTTATCGAATTTTCCCCAGCCTTGGATCATCAAACGATACATCGGAGCCGTTCTACGAACATTTGCTGGACAATGAGGTTCGATTGCACGGCGGATTCTACTCAAAGGAGTCGGAGGTCGAGGCTAGTCTTTCCAAAAGCCACTTTGATACGGATTACCTCGATAGGTATGTGATCGCACGTAATTTAGAGACATTTTATTGATGGACAGCAGATATATTTATGGCATACCATCACGGCCCTACGTTATTCCGCCTCTTTGCAGTTTGCACATATCGTTTACCGCTTAGACGGTTTACGCGGATAAAATTCGTGCCCGTACGATTTAACGATTTGCGCGAAGCTACTGCGACTTAAAAATATTAATCTGAGTTCATTTGCTACGGTGAAAGTTCCGTAAATTACATGTAATTACATGTTTTTGCGACTTTTCAATCGCACGTATGATTTTCCCCGTCGCTCTACGTAATTCATTTTAAAATAGAAAAAGACAAACCGTGATAATGTGGGATAAAAAAAAAAACGCCTTCTCTTTGAGTACAAATTATTTATTACGATGCAATAAATTTTTTTTTTTTTTTTTTTTTTTTTTTTTTTTCAAAGAATAACAAATGTTTAATTATAATTATACGCAATTAGATGCGGAATAAGCAACTTTCTGTGCGTTAAATTTAAAGATTTATTAGGCCAATTATACATTGGTACTATCCTTCAATATTCATAAAACCATTTAAGCAATTGGAATGCTCGTACGCAATATGTTGTACTAAATTTAATGTTCTAAAAATGCCAAAAGTTATAAATATTTGATACTATATTGATCTATAATTAAATATGTAAAATTAACATTCTCCTATCTTAAAAGCTTATGTAATTTTAAATTATTAAACTATTAAACTATTCATTGAGTGCAGTTAAACTTTTTTCTATTACAAAAAAAAAAAAATCAATACCAAAATGTACTTTAGAATTTCAAGTATAAATTTATATGAATATATTTAACATCGAATATTATAATAATATAATTTCTGTCCAGCATGGGATAAAATTTTTTTTTTTTTTTTTAAAGTATTATGAACGTACAAGCTCAACTTTAGATAAATTATAATATTCTTGTACGTTAATGAATATGTAATGTAAACTTAAACGATTTTAATACTTAGAGTAAACGTTTATTTAGAGTATAATTATGCTTGCGTAATCTTAATTCGTTATACCTTATTAATTGTATGATGCTGCAGATAATAAAAATAGTAATCAGTACATTGAATAACGTAACATAACAATAATAATAATAATAATAATAATAATAATACTCAAACGCGTATCGCATTCGTGGAGAAAAAATTGTTTTTCCCTTTTTTACTAGAAGTAGAAGCTTTTTAAAGTTAAAGTCATTGTTGACTCGATTACAGAGTCCCGCGTATTTATGTTGAAATTATTCAACGGGCAAAATTTCTCAAATATTAATAATTCTCTGCCTATGACAGTCAGTTGTAACTTTGAAGAATGAAGTATAACGTTACACAGCTTAGGGGGAAACTAATACTAAAACCAATACTACGTATTACTATTTCTTTAAACAATAATATATCTTTACATGGCATCGCATCTTAATTATTAGATTATCCTGCGATTCACTTAATATTTGGATTTGCAATAAATATTCGAACATTCCACATTACAAATTCGGTCTTTATCGTGGTGAAATGAAAATTTGTAGTTTGAAGCAGGTAAGCTTGGGAATTGGTATGTAACTCCGATATATCTGGAATTATACCATTTTCATTATACTGGCTTTTAATAATTCATCTACTTTGTCACAATTCAAACGCGTTTCACTTATAAATATCAAAAATTACAATAACATCCCCACGCTTACGCGTAATAACATTCGTTTTACTCGTGCGCGAGTCAATGCGTAGTTACCAATTGCAATCCTACGGCTAAGCACGTTGCTCTTCATAATCGCGAAATTAGTTTAGCCATAGTTTGACAACAAACAGTCTGTCTTCAGTGATTACCTAATCTTGCTAGACTAATGCTATCAGCATAGTCCTCGGCACCAGCAAAGTTTCCAGGCGCGCTCGCGTATCGCCTTGCTTTCCACTTTACACCCCCGTAAAGTGAAAAATAAGATCGCCAGCTACGATTAAATAACAAAAGAGACTCACGAGCCCGCAGTACGGAAATAACGAGGGACAGAGTGGCCGGTGAGGGCGAAGAAAGGAATGAGGCAAATTAACTATTAGCCAGTATCGCGCCACGCGTACAACGTCATCAGCGCCGAAGGTCCCGAAAAAGAAAAAGCGCGATAATTGAAAAGCCTCGTACACGTAAACAGTGCCACTGAACTGATAAGCATCATCTCGCCTATCTCTCTCTCTCTCTCTCTCTCTCTCTCTCTCTCTCTCTCTCTCTGTCACAACTTTCGTCGCAGATTGTACCAGGAGCGCTATGTGAGGCATCTGCATAAGCGAGCCACCGTGGATCCGCGCAAGACCACGTGTATGCTGTATCTGCAGGCAGATCATCAGTTCTTTGCGCGATACGGCACCGAGGAGGCCTGCATCGAAGTTATGACGAGGCACGTGCAAAAAGTCAACTCGATCTACAAGCACACAGGTGGGTGTTCTCGTATAACTAGTATGTAAAACAATGTTTCGTTACACCGTCCACCCCACCCCATCCCACCCCTTATAACCAAATCCCAATCCAGGCCTAGCCAGCAGCTACCCTCGCTTCTGACAAACCCAACTCCTCCTCGTGTCACTTCCTCCCACACTCGCTCGCTCCTTCATTCCTTCTCTCTGTCGCCTAAACCGGTGCCTGACTATGCAAATTAACCGACCACTTATTGTGTTAACGATTTCCCGATCCCTATCAATCGGAATTATGCTTGTATAATATATTAAGGGCTACACGCCACACAATACCCTTAAATTATGAAAATACTTTAAATCGTGTAAATTCCATGTGTTTTATGCAACGAGGGGTGATCGCGGTAAATCACTTGCCCCATTGAGGGGAGGTCGATATGTTGTCGTCCAACACTATCTGTCGAGGCTAATAATTTTGTTATCGTCGAAGGCAGTTAACCCAAAAGTCAAAAGTCTTGTCAAAGGACTTTAAATGGTCTAATTCTTTTTCAAAATTATCCTCAAGCTTTATGAATAATAGCGAGGACGGACTGACAATCTCGAGAAAGTATACTTGTGGCGAAATTGTTCCTTGCCTACTTTTCACTTATTAATTCTAAAGTGCAGCTCACTCGACATTTATAACCATCAATGTGCATTAAATTTATGTAATAATCTCGATGTAATCTGCATTAATTGCAAATTGTTTATTATAAATTTCATACATGTTCAAATTCATTATTTGGCAATTCATTATTCGTTCAATTAACATTCAATGTTCTATATCTTGAAAATAATTATAATTAATAATAGTAATTAATAATTTTTTCATTTTTCTTTGCGTTTTCAATATATTCAAACATTATGTTGGAAAGTCTCGTGAGTATCTGATCGACTATTCCATGATTATATAAACAATAATAATAATAGACTCATGCTGATAAACGATATTAATAACAAATACTGTTTTATAAATTTAAACATACTTGGATTATTATTAGAGTTGTTGAATAAATTAATATTTAATTAATCCCACGTGATGCTTATTCAATTTTTATATTTATTGCTTTAAAATCATACAACTCACAAAGTAAAACCATGAAATAAGCACGTTTTAAATTAATTCCTCCTCATATGTTCCGATCTAACTGCATTAACTTTGGAATTATTTTCTGTAAAATATGTTGTACTTGAAATAATGATACGATTAATTTGAGCGTTTTGAAATAGTGCTCATAGCATACTTAGAGCATGAAACTATTTAATAAAATGATTTGTTGGTTCAAGTACTTTTACACGCGCATTATCTTTATTTTACAATTGCAATTTGCTGATAACTTCCGTGCCAAATACTTTACAGCTTAAGTTTTGAATAAAGAATTTGATAGTTGAAGTTACTCAAATATTCCAATGATATTAATGATTCACTAGAGCCTTAGATATATTACTATTTATATTATTATTTATAACTAATATCAGCACTTATAATGCAATAATAATATTTTAATACGGCGTAGTGAAGAAATTATAAGAGCAATATTTCGTGGAAGTTGAATAGACTCGAATGGAATTAGAAAATTCGATCGATACCAATGAGACTTCTCACCACGTCTAATATTTTTAATTTCTGAAATTATTTTAAATTGTGAAATGGTTATCAAATCTCGTTCGTTATGCATTGAAAATTTCTACGACAATAGTACAATCATCAACAATAAATAATTGAGCTACAAAAGACCATTGCAATTTCAGACTTTTACTACAGACAGTATCACTCCACGTACCTTCGAATATCACTCTTCGAAGAAAAGTAAAAGGAAACAATTATAATTAATCGACCGAGTGCCGTGTATCTATTATCAGTAGGATTTAACTCAATTATAAAATATATCCAAATCTACCGAGGATTTTCCAACCAACGCTGATAATAGTTGGACGAAGTTCTTTCAATCACTCGCTTTTCGAAATCGCAATTTGCCATTTCAATTCCACTTTTTTTTTTTTTCTCCTATAAAAAAAAAAAAAAAAAAAAAAAAAAAAAAAAAAAAAAAAAAAAAAAAAAAAAAAAACAAGGACCTGTATTTATAAAAGGAGATAATATAAAGGCAGAACAATTCTTTTGATTAAACTTTTCAAAACAAATATTTAGTTATAATTGATGCATTGCAAATATCCTCGCCTGCATATTTCGATGGAATGATTTAACGCAAATATACATATATATATATATATATACATATATATACACATATATATGCAGATACTCCCACAGGATTTAATCTTATATTAATAGCAAGACCTCGCGATAATCCCTTATCAGAGAGACATTCCTTCCTTGTCCCTTTGACGCATATATACGTAGTCGCACGTCATAGTCCTCTCGGTCGATTGGTTTTTTTTTTTTTTTTTTGTTTTTTTTTGTTTTTTTTTGTTTCTATTAAACAATGATTTGGTCTATATTGATTGACTAGGGAGGAAAGCTCGAGCACTCATCGCTCCTCTATTCCATGTATTTCACATACGCTCGGGAAAGCCTCGGTCATTCCCTGCTCTCACTTTTTCACTCCCTCGCTCTCTCAATTCTGCTAACGCACAAAGCAACGGAATTTCGCTGTTGCACTCTCGAAAATCGGCTTAAGGTTTTATAGAGATTTGGAATTGGGTCAGTTAAGGCGGAGGCAGCCGACCGCCCATTCGGAGATAATGATTTTCTCTGACTTTGTGTGACTTTGGCGAAAAGAGCGCGGCACTCGGAATTTCTCCCGATTTTAATATACAAACGCTTGCGCTACTTTAGTTACTCGGACTGACGAGTGTCTATTGTCTTTTAGAATCGAGGTTAGCGCGCATTAGATGACGAATTACAATAATTTGACTTGCAATGAGCCTAGATTGCCAGATTGACTTTCTTTCGCGAATCACCACGTGTTTTGTGCAACTTTACTATACTTTCGAGGAATATCCTTAATAATTAATATGCGTTTACAGCTTTACCGATGTATGTGTGCTATTTGTCGATTTGATAATACGAACGTTTCTGAACTTTTTGTCATATCCCCATTGGGGGATTTATGAGATAATTAATGAGAATAAATATCTTCAATTCTTTATAAAATAATTCATTACAGATTTCTGGATAATCTTATTCCCGTATTTTTTACTATTCCATATGTTTTTATTTTCAACATAAGAACACAATAAACGTGGTAATTTAATATGAAAGTAGTTTGATAAATGGTGAGATCGTTTTCTTATAAAATATAAGGTGCGCTACCGCCGACCGAAGAAGTCTATTAATAAATTGAATTTTCTCAATATTCTTTTTCGAATAAACACCCTGATCACGAATATTAACACTTTTTGCAAAAGGCATGGCTTTCGCATTTAACGGCATACATTTTATACCCAAGGGTTTGCAATTTGGCGTACTTGAAAAGTACAATTCACCCGCCAAGTATGAAAAATCAATATAAAAAAAAAAAGGGAAAAAGAATTAGTAAAATGAATGGGCGATAGATAGGGGCGATAAGAGAAAAAGGAGCGCAACGTTCAAGGGATAAAAGAATAATAAAATTAAAAAAGAGTAGAAGAGATATAGAGAGGGGGGAATGGCAGGGATGATCAGAGTAGTGGACTAATCGGAAAAAAGCTCGACAACGGGCAGAAAATCTAGAGAGGCAATTAAGGGACCTAAGTTTGCTTCAGCGAATGAATGAAAGAGAGTGAGAGAGAGAGTGAGAGAGAGAGAGAGAGTGATATAAACACCGTTTGAGTAAAGAGGGGCGAGGGGATGAAAAGTAAGAAGAAGGGAAACAAATCGGAATTGGTAGGTGAGTATGTGTGCAATTGGCCAGTGGGCAGCAGTGTCGACTAACTAGTTTATCTCTTAAGTCCTTTGGTTTCGACCCTCGAATACCGTCACCAATGCTTTCGAGTACGTAGCTTCTACTTCCCCGATCTACAAACTCTTCCTTGTTTTATATCTATCTATCCATCTGGCTGTCTGTCTGCTTGTCCATCTAGCTAGCTGTGTCTGTCTGTCGATTTGAACAGCGTCGGTAGCGGTATGTCTTCGGGCGAAAAAATAGCAGAGGGTTGGAAAGTTTCCTCGCTCCGAGCGCTGACGGATCAGAGCTTTTCAAAAGTTTTTAAGTGCCACGAGCTATATATATATATATATATAACCACGGGAGGGAAAGGTGAAAGAAAGAGCGGGATAATGGGGCTCAGAAATTATTAGTTCAATATTAGACCATATTGTAAACGTAAATAATTAGTAAATAACTAAATTAATTATGTATATTTATATGTCCATATATTTTTATGTTATTTAATGTATACATTATTACATATATATATATATATATATATATATATATATATATTTGCATAAATGTTGAATAAGGATTGTTCGCCTAATCTTTGTATAAAATTCATTAGTATTTTTATTCGGTTTTTCATTTGACAAGCACAGTCACTAATTTTTTCATTAATGCCCATTAGTGTCTTATTTTATAATTTAAAAATACAATATAGCTGATATTTAAATTTTAATTTGACTCTTGTTTTACTTTAATTTTCTTAGATTTGCATGAAAAACATGATGAGAAAGCAAAAAATTCTAATTGCTTCAAAAAACTTTTTCCCTTCGATAATTTAACGTTTGGCTTGACATAATTGCAATTAAACATTTTATTTCTGTTTACTTTCATTCATTTTCATCTTAATTCAATATGTATTCTCTTTAATATTAACGATTAATCGTACATCAAGATCCAATTATTTCTAGATATTTTGCATATGTAACATGTTTATCACACTTTACCCTACCAATACACAATTATATTAATACACATTTTTAATTTGTTTTTAATAAATATCCTCCTAATTAACTGCTTTCGTGGCGACTGAATAATAATAATAATAATAATAATAATTATTATTACTATTATTATTATTATTATTATTATTATTATTATTATTATTATTGGCTATGGTAAAATATTCTTACCTCACTTTATGATTCAGATTTTAATCAAGATGGACGAGCGGATAATATCAGTTTTATGATAAAGCGGGTGAAAGTACACAGTGGGGATGCTCTCAGAGATCCGAACTACCGCTTTCCTGGCAACTATGGTGTCGAAAAATACCTGGAGCTTTTTTCCGGTAAGTATATACCTGACGACGCTTATGGAACGACGCGCGAGAATTTGTCCTTCGCCTACAATTCAAATAGTTGAAATAGGTGCGCACGCGCTCTTCTGCAAATGCCGAGTAATTTTATGCTCTTTATACCACCGAGGAGCCAAAGCCCAACTTGCATACTTAATAATTACCTACACAGACTTGGAAATTACTATCGTGCGATTTATTATATATATATATATAATGCAATATTGCAATTCACTAATTAGCATTAGCAAATAAATAATTTAATTGTTAACAATATAAGAATAAAAGCTTTATGGTATTATAATTAGTGAAGAGCACGTTGATATGTTCCTACAAATAATTCTAATGGCTCTGTAGATTTTATTTTGAAATTGTCATAAAAGCACCTCGGATATTCCTTATAATTTACTGTAATTATGTTGAATAATATATAATATTAATTAATGCAAAATATATCAATTTTACGTTAGTAACTCGTTAAGAGAAAAATTCGTTGCCTAAAAAGCTATTGATGATCACTGTACATAATATATATTTCTTTTCAGAGATCATGTAAAATTAACTAAAAATTAAGAATGAAATTTCAAATTATTAATTTTCAGTGCAACTAGTGTAATTACAACGATAATTTTATTAAGCTCCTTCCACCATATATCATTTCAATTAAATGACAAAAACAGTTTTAACAACGTCTAATAATTGTAATGTTTTAATCCAAAATTTATTCGAAACATAATAGTATTATTTTCCATTTTTGTACAGCCATTGTCTATAAATGCAATTTTATACTAAATTTGTTTAATGATCACTTTGAAGTATCAAGAGTTGCTTGCATAGTCATTTCTAATATATGCCACGATTATTCATTAAATATAAAAACTATCTGAGTGCAACTTTATATCAGTAAATTAAATATTAATGATAACAAATTATTCTTTAATTACGATATACAAATTTTATATTTTTTTCAATTTTACATGAAAATTAAATTTTAAACCTAAAAAGAAGTATTGACTATCTCAATCATGTACAGTGTATACAAATTTTATACCTCTTCTACATATCTACATTATGCATGCTGAAACTATTATATTTAAAATGATTATAGTTAAAAAAAAAATACAAGTGTTTATGCTATTTAAAAACTGTTGAACATCTAAAACTTTCGAATAAGTAAAAAATGTTTAAAAATTTTTGACACTAACAATACGTATAAACATAGTTTATTATAATCCTTATTTGCATTATTTTTATATTCTTTGCTCTACAATTTCAAACGTACGAGGTTTTGTGTAAATATATTATCGATTCTGTGAAAAACTGACCATAGACCAATAAAAACGATTAAAAGAGTGGGGCGGAGGAGGGAGGGAGAGAGAGAGAGAGAGAAGAACAAAATCGAGTAATTCTCCATTTCGTTGTTTATATATCCCAGACTGCCGGTCTGTTTATTACATCCTTTCTACCTGTGTCTCTTTCCTTTTCTACAGCTGAGTTAGGGAAACTCGATTTTAGAACCATGAAGGAAAACCACACTGGCACGTCGGAGAGAATGAGGGAGAAAGGTGAGAAAGAGGAAAAGAGGGGGGGGGGAGAGATGGCCAGCATAGAGTTTAGTTGCAGCCTAAGGGCCAAGAACTTCACTTGTGTTGCGAACGTGATAGGAATTCCTACAGCCATGATTTCTACGTGCGTGTGTATGTGTGCTACTGTAGAATTCGAGAAACAACAGAAAGAAAGAAGCTACAGAGAATCAAGAGTATGATTTTAAAAGATGCTTCTTTAAGCGTATATATGTGTACGCGTATTTGCACTTATAAGAAAAGTAAAAAAGTGCTATAGGTTACTTTGTATCAATCAGATTAAAGCTTTAAGTTATGATAAATGTTTCTTCGAATTGATTGTCTAATAATTAAAGAAACTATAGTTTAAAATTTATTTAATGTGTTGTTTTTTCTTTTCATCAGTTATAATTGATAATTAAAATTTCATATGAATATACTAATTTACATTAGTAAAATCAAATTTTAATTCTATCATGCCTATTGATTTAAATTCATTACTACTGATTTTCAAATTTAGTAATGTTGAATTAGCTGAATAATAATCAAAGTTTATCATTGATATCATAAAACAAAAATGAGAAGCACAGGTGCTGTCTTCGTAAAGTTTCTAAATCGAACTTAAATTTTCTTCAATTTTTATGCCCGTTAACTTGGTTGATTTACTTTAAATTTATGAAATAATATGTAATTTTGTAATAAATTTTGATTTGAAAATTGCTATTCGGATGATAGATTGCGGCATCCATTGTAGATTTAAAATATTGCCAGCGAAACGGCCAATACCGTTCTTTTTGACATTTTTAACGTACCCCCTTGAAAAAATTAAGGTACCACGTTATTTTCACGTTCTGATTGGTTTTCAACGACCCTAAGCTCTCGCGCGATGATTTATTTTATTGGAGTTCATAAAGCTCGTAGGATTGTGCAATCATCCCTTCTTACTCACTTTTTAAGCTTTCTTGCACCCATTTACCACAGCCTTCTCGGCCTTTCTCCTCTTCATATTCCTTAGTTATACGCTCTGGGAAGACATATTGAGACACGTATGTGTAAAACAGTAGGAAAGCTTTTGCTGTCAAGGATCACCATTAAGGACTTGCTTAATTTTAGAAACATGCTTCACTTTACAATTTCTTCGTTTAACCGTAAAATCCCATTACTTACATTCATCTACAATCGGCCATACATAATTTTAATATACGCTATTATTACAACGTTTTTATAATTCAAAAAGAATTTATAATTAAAAAAGCATAGGTTATTTTTTGCATGAAATAGTGTCGAGTAGTGAAAGAGCCAATGATGCGTAATATGGTAAATAGAGTTTGCATAATGGACGTACGACATGGTTGGAAAATAGTATTACGCATCAATACTATTGATATAGTATCGAGCCAAGTGACCGAGTCGATTCGAGTCTTATCCAGTGCGTGCAATATGGAAACTAAATCGATTGCCAAATTCAGCATAAAGTACTTATTAGTATCTCACTTTGCTCGTTCTATTTACTTAAAGCGAAGTATTCAACGAGATATAGAGTCTCGATAGTATCCGCGACAATGATATTCGCTCGATAGATTCACTCGATACGGATGAATGTAATAGTGAAGTTGTAATGGCATTCGATAAATGTGCGATCTCGCCGTTGCCATGTCCGTGTACTTTTGTCCACGATACGTATAACGACAACACCTACATTATGGAACCTATTCAAAAGATCTAATATCGTTAATACTCGACACCATTCCTTTCAAATTGCTAACGCTTGCACCGAATAATACTTAGTGCAAGAAGACCAATTTGCTCAGTAATCGGTATATTGATTACGCACCAGAATGAAAGGTATAACGAGTCTCGCGTATGTAGGTTAGTCAAAGTCATTTTGAAGTTCGAGAAAAAGACAGAATGAGTGAGAGAGTGGCATACAGATGGAAGGAGAAGAAAGGCCTAGAAACGCCTTCGTGGTTGAATCCCCCAACGGTAAACATTTCTCATTATTGATGGCTGACCAGCCGAACGGTGGTGCTGGCAATAGCCATCGTTTACAAAACTTTGAAATGGAATAACTTGCCCCTCGGTATCTCCTCGATACGGAGTAGGAGCGAGTAAATAGTAGCCAGCTCTGATATTTCCCAAGGGCGATTTATTTTTTCCTCCTCTTCGTGCCCATTTTCTTGAAATAAAAGAATAAGTTACCGAATAGCGACGAGGAGAAGGAGGAGGATGAGGAACAGGAGGTGGTGGTGGTGGTGGTGGTGGTAGTCGCGGTGGAGCAGGAGAAAACGACGAATAATAAGAAGAAAAAAGAAATAAAGATGGAGAAGGGGGAGAAGAAGGTGGAGGTCGTGAAGAGAGAAGCAGAAGAACAAGAAGTAAAAGAAGTAGAAAAAAGTGAAGGGGGTAGAAGGTGAAGGGGAGAAAACGAGACTAAAGACTCTCGAGTACTTTTACTACGGCTTATCGATTTAAGCGTCATACGACTGTCCTTTGACACCGGTCGCGCACTCCTCTAGTAAGCGAGGTCGGCTTATTTTGCGCTGAGCTGCTTATTATTGTGGACATTTGAATATTTCGATCTCTCGCGTGCGCGGCACTGCTGATACGACAGTTTTCGGAGACTGGATTGCAAAGTCAGTGCGACAGAAAGCGAATGAGAGAGTGAGAATGAGCGCGTCGAGCACTCGAAGCGAGAAAAAGAAACGAGATTATTCCAGTCGCGCCATACTAAATATCGGGTTAGCGGACCGCTGAGATCGCGATAATGGGATTTTACGACTTGAGGATGAAAGGAAAAGTATAAGAAAAAAAAAAATAGGAAAGAGAGTCATTGCAGCTCGAGTAGGGCTAACTAGTTGGAAAAACGAGCGCGGATATTCCATGAGCGAAGGCATTCATTTTCCCGAAGGTGGACTGCTACAATATACAGCCAATTAGGCATACGACTTTGGACGGTGGAACTTTGAATAGTGATCCCCGTCTCTTATAGACAGGGAGAGAAGTCTCATAATCGACACGAGACTGTATTCTCCTCTCGTGTATTCTCGACTCGCTCTTCTTGACTGTAACGAACCTCGTGGTTATTGCCATTTGTATTTGTTAACAAACGACGCTGCCCAAGGGTACTTAAAAACAACACACACACACACACACACACACACACACACACACACACACACACACTAGAGGAGAGGTGGATCACGGGGGACGATCTGAATATTTGGCAATTTCTATGCCCAGTTGCCAATCTATAAAGATTACAATAGCACTGCGAATATTCCAAATAAAAGTGAATTATAAAAATTATTTCTATGTAGTACTGCTGCCTTATGAGAAAAGTTGAAGAAAAATGCATCGATAAAATTCCCAAAAGGTATTTCAAATATGGCATTTATATGTGAAAGTTAAAAACTTGTTCGATCATTGTAATTCTCTGGTACTTGGTCGAACGTACTCGAACTTTAGGAGCTAAAACTCATTCCATACGACCTCAATACCATCAAATTCGTTGGAATACAAATTTACGTAAAATATTTTCCTGAAATAAAGTATCTCTTATCTAAATCCAAATTTTTCGTGCTCGCTCCTTACTATTCGAATTACCTATTCGAAAAGTCCTCGTCTTTCATCTCCTCTCCCCTCCCCACTCCCGTTCCACCTCGACTCTCTTGGCGTAAGCAAAAATTGTAAGTAAGAAGTAAATATAATTAATTGGAATTATAATCGAGTAAGCGTATTCGTTTTCAGTTAAATACTTTATTCCACGGTAGAATGGAAAATTGAATTAACAAATGTATTTTCCGTTCTGAAATGTGTAGCGTTGTTGACGCAACGTTCGTTGCGAGCTCCAAAGCAAACATTTTTAATCTTGTGACCGCGTTATTATGCTCGCAATTGTGCTCTCAGCAATTGCTGCGTTATTAAATCGAGATTTATCTTAAAATTTTAGAATTTTCAAATGTTTAAAAACATTTGTACAAAAATCAAGGAAAATACATGCCTTTATACGTGTTTTTAGAAAGGATCGCGTAAATGGTTGAAAATTAATTTTACAGCTTATTCGATTGCGTCATTTGTCAAGATCGAGTACAATATTCTTCAATTAACGAAAGAACAGATTCTAGACATGAGTGTATAAAAACACAAAGAGGTATAATTGCGAATTAAAGTGCGTACACTTAAGCGTAAAAACCATTTAACGATAATACTAATGAAGATAATATAAACGAACTCGATTAAACTCTCCTTGTCGTCCGTTCAACCAATCCGATGTTTCCATAGCTGGTCGTCCTCTCAGCTGAAATATTATCTAATTCAGGGTAACGTACGAGTTATTAAAATAGAATTAAACAATGTGAAATAAATCCGAAGCGCAATAACAAATGAATAGCTCTGCCTTCTTAATGTTTCGATAAAAGCTGATGAAATGAGATGAAATTTTAATGCAACGGCGGATCGATAAATCGATATGACATTATTCCTAGTCTTTGTTTTACAGAGGAAGACTACGACGCATTCTGTCTGGCTTACATGTTTACGTACCGAGACTTCGAAATGGGTACTCTGGGACTGGCCTGGACCGGAGATCTCAAAAATGCTGGCGGTGTCTGCGAAAAGAATGGGGTAAGCCACCACAATCTCCCGCTTATATTCTTCCACGCGGTTTCCCTTTTCTTATTTCAACCCGCTCCCCCCCCCCCCCCCTCTCTCTCTCTTTCTCTCTCCCTCTCTCTCCCTCTCTCTCCCTGTGCCGAACTCTCGACTTCTTGAGCCACGGGTGCACATACCTGCGCGTATCCGATTTAAATTGAACGAATGTATTTGTATTGATGGGAGAAATTTGTAAACCTGCATTTGAAATCTCATCGAAGCCTTGATGTCTCTCTCTCTCTCTCTCTCTCTCTCTCTCTCTCTCTGCGTTTCTCTTAATTTAATTAATATTACAGAATGCCGCATGTTCCCTTCGCCCGTTATTCAAATCCGCTTGTTCGCGACTCTACAATTAAGTTTCTTTACGTCGTTAATATTCTGCCTGAAATTGTAAAATCATCGGTCTACGTAATTTTGACGATGAGAGGAAATTTACCACAACTATTTGCCAAATTACCCTAATATAGACAGTTACTGAATTTATGATGTTAAGGCGCTTTCGAAACCTCACCTTTGCAGTTGCTCTATAATCTCATCGACAATAACCTAAACTATAACTATAACGACAAGTGGATAATCTTTGTCCTTATATCCCCGATCAATGATTATTACCGATTAGCAATTTGTCGCTGCGCATCGCTAAAATACAAAATCGCAATCTATAAATCACTTTGCTCGTAAGCCTGATCTACGCTCCTTAAATATACCCTGCACAAGGCGCTGAGCTGAGCTTGAGAGAAAGCAAAAGAAAAACCGAAAGGCATTATCGACACCCTCGCTCTTTCGCTCTTGCCGCGATCTCCGCGAAGAAAGTTGAAATACAACTTTCGACTTTCGTGCCCAATTTATCATGGCGCGAATGCCAACCCAAAGTCCTCGACTACAGAAAGCTCTAAATACTTGCGATAGATTTATATGCAGCGGTGTATCTATACAAGACGGAACGACATTTGATCGTCTTCGTGGCGTCTTCCATATCAAATGTCGGATCGGCTGCGCTTGTGACACATGGCATTGTCAATATGTGTCAAGAAAGAAAAGAGAAAAGGAGACTCGTCCTTTCGACATTGTCGTAGAATCGGCTGCGTGGAGTCGCCTTCGTCACCTTGCATCCACGATATTAAAATTAAAAGACGAAAGGGAGAAAAAAAAATTATTCCTCGTTGCCAAGTATCGATAATAGTCACTTAATTGGCAAACCCGCCAACTCACACTTTCCGCGCATTACCGCGAGGCATGCATGTGTGCATGCATTTCTACTCCAATCGTCAGTCGCCATTGATCGTATGCATTATTTATGGATCATGCGGCGAATGACATACTACGATCTTAGGCATTGATAAATCAATCCAATCTAATGCGTTTCAGCTCCCAATCTGCCTCCAGTGTCATTTATTTTTATAGTAACATTTTCCTTGACATTTCCAAAATCATTCTGCCTCTGGCAACTATGCGTATCGACATCATAGTCGACGTCGACACGCGGAAACTGGGTTAAACGAGTCAGTAGGACCCGTACAATGCACCAGGATGCCGCGTCAGTGTGTAAGAGTCAGCACTGCAACGTGCACGAGCACGCCTCTGATAAATTGTAGGCATCCGTTCTCCGGTATCATCGATTCTTTCCGTCTCCTTGCATTTATCTCCCTGCGATTTCTCAACTATTTAGATACAAATTCAATTTATTCCCCACTCAATCCCACCCCCTTCCCCCGTCCAAAATACCGCAAGCTAGTGCCGCTACGCGCTCACCCCACCTCCATCCCCATCCCCTTTATATGCCCGGTCATATCTGTTTCATCTATTTTTATTTTCGAATTTTACCGATATGCCTCTCGGCTTCTCTGACCTAAATATAAAATTCGGAGGTAAAATAAAGGAAAATGTTGCGCGCTAGTTAAACGACAGAAATATTTGAAGAACCATACTTACCTTATCGTATTGGTATGCGTTAAGACTTTAGGCGCTTTACAACCATCAAATAAGCCCTTATTCATTAAAATCACGCTAAATATAAAAAAAGACTACATTGATCAACGCTCCGAACGCGATGAACATTCAACTCATCTTGATAATGAATGATACATGATGAAATAAATTGAATATAAAGGGAATATAAAGAGATGAGCTTGTTTGAGAAATTGTACAAACGTAATGGTGATCCATAATTTTATATAAGTGTATTTAACTCATTTTTCCCATTGACGTTCCTCGTTATCTTCCCTTGAAACTCTTTCCGATGTTTGAAAAATTTGAAAAATAAAGCAATATCGATTTTAAAAATCGACGGTTAAATTTCCCTCGTGTCCCTCTGAATGTTCATAAATAGCGGGCATAAAATTGAACGATTCGCTTATAATTTACTCTATTGTGTGGAAAAATTTATTATTAGACTGCGTCGATTCTTTCATTTTCACCTCCCGTACTTTAAACGTAATTCGCTCAATTTTCCCACGGAGTGAACGACTCGACGAGATTTCCAGTTTCCTACTCTCTAATTTTTAACGAATTCTGATTCTGCTTTCCGAGTAGAATTCACACAAACCCTTGGGGCTATCCTTTTTTAGTTGCAACTCAAGCAAATTCTATCCAATTTTCCCTTGTACATCGCAAAATGAGACTTCGTTTTATCGAAAAATTAACAAACTTTTCTTGTGGCCAAAAGATACTCTACGTCCACATTATCGATGCACTCCAATGTAATTCTAAATGCATAATGGTGTATCGTGCCCTTAACCTTTGTGCCAGACCAGTTTGGCAATGAAAATAGCGTAAGGTCGATGCTGTTTCACATCTACTTTATGTGTTTAAACTGATAATCGTTATTTTAGCCAATACCACCACCGATGATCTTCACATTCATCCGATCATTAAATATATAAGTAAATTCGACAAGCTCAAATGCCATTGGATCGAGTATCAGCGCGCTTAAGAGGAATGATTGTGTAGGGTGGAGCGAGAGGGTGATGAGGACGCGGGGAGGGTTGGAGCTAGCAGATCGAAAGTGAGTGAGAAGATGTATCCAGCAGCAAAAAGTCAGAGCCGAGGAGTCAAGAACGAATAAAAAGGTGCAGCACCGCGTTCAATCGAAATTCTGGCGAGGGGGGGGGGCGATAGAATGTTGAAATCCAATTGAAAGTGCTGTATATATACATGCATATATAGATATAGATATAGATATATATATATATATATATATATATATATATAAAGAGAAAAGGTAAGGTAAGGAACGGTGAGAAAAGGCCGAGAAAGCGAGGGGATGGAGAATGGAAGAAATGTGGAGAAGAAGAATCGGGACGTGGATCTAGAGTCGCCCTAGAAAGCATTAAAGCGAACGAGGTTCAGTCACTTCGCTAATAATTACCGCGGTCGAAAGTATTAGCAAAGCCGTTATAAAACAGCATGGCGACGGTCTGTATGCCAGTCAACCACCGTCCCACACTTTTTTTCCCATTGGGCTTGCGTTCGGATTGACAACTGCCAGTCCATGAATTAACGGGGAATAGGCGTAAAGTGCTGAAGCAGCTACTACTGCGAAAGTGGGCTTAGGATTCGCCAATCGGATGTGCTTGTCGAAGAGGACAACGTGAATCGCGCGCGCCCATAATTAATCCCTTTCGCATACTACTCCTGTCTCGTTCGCTCGCTCACTTTCGAGCGCGAGCTCCTTCTACCGGCCCATTATCAGTCTCTTGGCGCCAAATGTGGGTCAGAGGATGCATATGAATGCATCGTATCCGAGAGCTGGAGGATTCATTAATCTCCGCTAATTATAGTTAAGAATTTTAAATACTATCCATGTAGGCTTGACTTTCTTTTTAGAGCATTGATTGTAGTGTCGCTAGCACTATTTGCGATTATCCCTTTTTGTTCTGTATGTGTAAGTGTCGATCTGCCGAATGAATAATGAATAATGAACACTGAGCACTACTCGTCCTCCTATACTCATTAAAATTTAGCATCTTTTAATTGCAAACTTATAAAAATGAATATTCAACTGAATTGAATGCTCCGTCTTTATTGGGAAAGTAAAACATGCATTATTGGCCGGCCCTCGGGTAATTTTTATCGAAAGTCAATGTTTATGATAATACTACGAAATTATATATACACTTTGTAGGCCTACGCGTGCGTGTCTATGTTGAATATGAATTTTAATATTTTTTACCGCTGTCTCGTAAAAAAAAAAAAAAAAAAAAAAAAAAAAAAAAAAAACGACAAATTCGATTACATTACTTCTTATTATTTATTAAACTCTTTTCATTAAAGCTTATAAATTTGTCTGTCTATTTAACTATTTATCTCCTAAGAGAAAGAAACTCGCGATTTATTCTGCTTTTAATTTTATATTTTATCTTCAACTTTATGATTCTTCGCGGACTACTAATTTAAACAGTACCGTATTATTAGTGAAATTCAAATCCAATTTCAGTCGAATGAGGATCGAATGAGGATTTCAAAACAAATTCAAGATATAATCGTTATTAACCAGTAGATAAATACTTCAAGCTTGGACAGTTAACATATTTACAATTTTCCATGATAATATATTGGAACAAATAATGTATTTACGTAAATTTAAAAACAAAAAAAAAAACAAAAAAAACGTACTGCAATCATTTCGCTTAGCCAAAGTCAAGTATTATTTATAAATTCGTAATAAACGGGCTGCGTCATAAATTAAATATTACCCTCATATGTAAAATTTTACAAATTCAAGTTAAAAGCTTCGCCGTTCATTGTTTGATCGGCGAATTTTTTAATTTTAAATTTAAAATTTTTTTTTTACGTACCTCTACAAATATTACTACGAAAAATCTGAATACATTAGGTGTTAAAACAAAAACAAAAACAAAACAAAAAAAAAAAACAAAAAAAAAATTCAATGAATACATAAAAAGCAGACAATGCTATAGCCCCCTTCATTTTTTCGCATTTACGAAATCGCGCAATGACAAAAGTTAGTTTAAAACAATATAGAGTTAACGGCGAAACTGTCTACACATAACGACGCCACTCCCCCACCGCATTAAACTCGTAAAATACGCGCAGCCGTCCGCTATCGTGTTTATTACATCAAGATGTTGTGCTATATACATTCACATGTTCCAAGCTCTCTCTCTCGTATACTTTTATGGAGCTCGTAAGAATGCCTCGCCACCATAAAGCTTTATACTCCACGCAATCCCAAAAGCATCCGTGCACGGCGAAGCGTCACTTTTTAATCCTGCTGCATTCCAAGGAAATCAATCGCTCGTAAGAGCTCTCGCGATAAACCTTATCGTCAGGCAGACAGAGCGCCGCGGGAGGTCAGTTGGTGGCCGCATACAAACATTAATCTAATGTCGCACCTTTTATTCTGATTCCAGCACTACCGAGGCAGCATGAAATCGCTAAATACCGGCATTGTAACTTTATTGAACTACGGCAAACACGTGCCACCCGCAGTGTCCCACGTGACGCTGGCCCACGAGATTGGCCACAATTTTGGCTCTCCGGTAAGGATACGCACCTCTTCACCCCACCCCCTCACTATATACGTTCATGCATGCACATATGCATACATATATATATATATATATCACTCGTATATTATCATCACCCTTGGATACTCTTGACTCACCCTCACCCTGCCTCCGGTTCCGCGCCTCTTTCTCTCTCTCTCTCTCTCTCTCTCTCTCTCTCTCTCTCTCCCTCTCTCTTACTACTCTTACGATAAAAGGATTGCTGACCATTGCGAATACCCTCGACAGCCTGAACGCACGTTACGGGGATCGCGAAATTTGCCATCAGTTGCAATCAGTTGAGCTTGCGAAATTGAAGGAATATTATGGTTTAGCGACGGAATAGTGACAATAACGCTAGTCTGTTAAAGGCAATTTAGCCATCCCGCGAGCGAAATACATCCGATTGATATTTTTGTCATACAACGAGAGCATAAAAAAATCACGACTGGAGCTCAGCGTGGCTGTCGAGGAACGGCGATGGAGAGAGAGAGAGAGAGAGAGAGAGAGAGAGAGAGAGAGAGGAAGAACAATAAAGCAATAGCAAAGGAGAGATAGAGCGGGAGCGTGATGAGTCGAGAACGGCGGGAAGGGGGATGACGATAAGAGGGTGGTAGATTGGTGAATGTAAGCGGTTAACAAGACTGAGATATGAAGGATATTAAACGACGGCACGTTTGCCCCCTCCCTCTACCCGCGCCTCTATCGGCCTCTAGCACGATCCAGAGCAGTGCACGCCCGGTGGAGAGGATGGGAATTTCATAATGTTCGCCCGCGCAACCAGCGGCGACAAGCGCAACAACAATCGCTTCAGTCCGTGCAGTCTCAACGCCATTAACCCGGTGCTCAACACCAAGGCTCGCTCGTCCAAAGGCTGCTTCACCGGTGAGTATAACATTGCCCTCGTAGGGATCGCCACCGCCCATATCGCTCATGCAGCATTCATCGTCTTCGTGGAACTGTCGTGCCTAAGTGAAACGAGCGCCAAATCGTGGATGCGCCTCCTGTTTTTTTTGTACGCGACGGGCACTAAGCTTACCTCGTCAATTCGTCGATTTGCGCGAGTTTTGTAATTTAATCGTAATGGCCGACAATTTGTTTAACCTAGCCAGGCACGATACCTATGAATTGTCGCAAAATATTATTTTTCAAATATATTAGTTATTCGTTCCGCGTACGTGCCTAGATCCATATTGTGAATTCAATTTTGAAAATTCAATGTTTAAGATAAATTCATCGGGACGTCAATATAATTTGCAAACACTACCTGACAATTCCATGCTTACTTGTAGGAAATTCGAAACCTAATTAATTGTAATTAACTTTTTGAGACGCCATGCTATCTGCTCAAATTTTTTTTCGTTTTCTTTCTTTTTTCTTTTTTTTTTTAATTCTATTACTTGACATATAGACAATTAATTAATTGCATGACGATAAATGCCAAGACAAGTCGATAAATATTCATAATTGGCAAGAGCAGTGATCCATGAATATGTGTATGTACAAATAATCGCGCCGCTAATTATGCGTAACATTATCTTCGTTATTGTGACCGAGAAAACTTTAGAAAGAAGCCGATTCACCTCCCCTATAATGGCACTCTAATATTATTCCAAATTCCCGTGACACGTGACACGAGCCTTTTTATTTTAACGAAATGCCTTCGTTTGTATTGTTTTTTTTTTTGTTTTTTTTTTTTTTTTTTGTTTGAATTGGCTTTTTTCATACGTGGAGAAACAGTGTCCGTGAAATCAATTAAGGCGCGAATTAGAAAACTCGCCTTTTCCATTATTTACCGAGTCAATGGCGTGTACCTTAAGGACATTCGTAACGGCAAAACCCTCCACGAGGGTGCGTACGGGAGGGATCGAGGTCACGCACGGAAACGGAACCCGACCGCGGCATTTCGCCATCACGGGTATTAGGATGAGGTCGTGCGTTTGCCTTCCCACTCGCTACCAACAGTTTCCAAGGAGATGTGTCTGTGGTCTCCTCGGCCTAATGCGGCCAGCGACAATGCATTCGGAGTGCGGGGGACACGCGAGGGAAGACAGTGTAGGAGCCGAAATTGAGAAAGAAAGAAGATCGTGCTTTCGCGCTCCTTTCTTATTCGCTCATATTTTTCCGAGTTTGCCTCGGTTTATGGATCGGTGGCTGCGTGTTTCTTATGCGGCGTATAAACGCTGACGGCGTTTATGCAAATGGGACGTTCGTTGGATTCGTGGGCGTTCGCGGCGCAATGAAAATTCGTGAGGGATCGATGATGTTGCGTGAAAGAGGCGAGGGCAAAAATAAACTTGAACGAAGCGTCTGTATAAATCAAATTATCGAGAATGAGCAACCATTTACGGAACAGAAGGGAAAGTCATTTTGTCGGGAGGGGAGGTTTTTATAAAGATGCTTATAAAAGGTATTTGTATTTGTCGAATGGTCCGAGTCGTTGATAGCGATAATTGTGAAAAAATAACAAAATTGACTCGATCTTACGAGCTTATTAAATCGGGGCTTTTCACTTTCGCAGTGGCAAGTAATTTTGCGAAATTGCTCGTAAAAAATTCGTGTCAACTCGGGGAAGTACATTTTAAGCATTACGGCAGATACAACGACTCTTGAACTGCAAAAAAAAATTGACATTGTTGTAGGTGTGCAATGCTCTTTTCACGAACAGCTAATGGAAATAAATACGTTAATACTTATAGACACAGTACTACTTAGGGCATACGTTAAAACATGAAAATCGCATAATATTATAAAAAGTACTTGCATACCTTGAATATACTATAAATTTTCAGTGCGTGGTGATTTATGCTGGATACGTGAAATTTCTACTCGAGATTCTAAATAATAACCGAAATAACTTTGATACGCTATTTCCTAAATTTCAAACATAGATACATATACATACATATGTATATATATATATATATATATATACATATTGTCTATATAAAGTATGAGAGTAGCACGAATATTCTTATCGAAATGAAAGTCTATTAGATTTAGACGATACAGCTTTTCTCAAAGATTATTTAAAGTATCGTTTAACACGAGTGAATCGGTAAATCGTAACGCGTAATCGATAGATTTATAGAAAATTTAATTCAAACGACGCTTATGAAGTATTATTAATAATGCAATTGAAGACGGATTTACAATTTTTATTCGTACGATAATTGTGAAAACTCTGAATTACGATCAATTAAAGTACGCTCAAATATCGGCAAATGCCTCAAACTACATCATTACGAACCTTTGAAAATACTCCAATAATATATCATATTAAGCCGAAGCTCCAGCTCGATATTAGAAGGAAAGAATATCATATATTTTATATAATATGGTATAGACAAGTAAAGAAAACTATACAAAATAATATACAGAAAATTCTGTGTAACTTGGGTAGTTTGTCTTGCTGGTAGGTGATGCCATTTCATTTAGAGGAAAGAAAGCCGTTTAATACAGCGTTCGGGCAATTGGCGAAAATAATTCATACTTTTTCGAAACAGATTTACCCGTCTTTGTGCAATAATGGCCAGTTGTCATTTTCAATGCGATGCCGTAGTCTGACATACGAGTCGGGCTCCGTAAAAATCAAGGTTATATTTAGGCTATCAAATACTCTCTTTGGAGTATAACGGAAGTTATACATTGGCTGCTGATTTCTCATTTTGATGATTCGTAATTTTTTACGTCATTCCATCGACCCCAGAGACGATCGCGCTGTGCCTCGATAGGATATCTTAAGGACCATCGGTATAACTATACCAATCCAAGCAATGTACAAAACTGAGGACCGACTACTGTCGTCCGGTGATTCGTCGATAGATGAGAGGGGAGTGACCTTGAATCGAGTCACAGCTCCAATAAGATAGAGGAGAGCAAGCATTTTGTGGAGAGCCGAGTAAGGTGGTTTCGTAAAGACACGCTTAAACGAAACTTCACGGGTTCCACGACAACTTTCCAGAGCCTGTCAAAGTGAATAAAGGAAGGATAAAGGGTCAAAGCCACAGTCACTCGATTCCACCATTAGTGAGATCTCACTCGATCTCTAAACCTGAGCATTCGCTCCTTCCAACGAGGTTGTGGTACGTCACTCGTCACCAGCCCTGTAAATGTCTATACATAATCCCCAATACCAAATCACCATCGTCTTCGATACTCCACTTGCGGTTCGATTCTCCTAGTGCGTAACTCTGTGGACGCCAGTTGCCTGCGGAGCCGCTCCGTGGCCAACAGTTGCTTCGCCTACATAAATTACCTTTACATTTTTATAATCTATCGATAGCTCTTCGTTTTTCACGAACTTCCTAACTAGATAATGGGACGGGGGAGGGGTTTGGCACTAGTCGAAATATCAGCAAAATTATCTAAAAAAATATTGTAGGGTCCAATTAGGCTTTTCGTACACTACGGTGTTCTTTTATCCACTAGAGTGTCCTCATTTAAATCAACCTCAAATGACAAATTACATTACACGGAAAAAAAGTAATCAATATTTAATTGGCTTGATGCACAAGCAGTATGACAATTTATCCAGTTTTCGCACTATTCAGGAAGGATATTCATTTCGACAAAGCCAACGTTGATGTGAAATTAATAGTAGGAAAATAATAACAAAATTCATTCGATATTTTGAATAGCACAGTCGTGGCACTCGTACGATACTTCATAAATAATTACGATTCCAATTATTTAGAGTAAAATAAAATATATTAACTTGAAGCGTCGAATAATCTCACTGGGAAAACTCGATGTTTCCGGCAATTGTGCACTTAATGCTCAGAGTTCACAGGTTGCTTATATATAAAGATACAACCGCGGTCCATTTACTTGATTCAGATATATATATATATATATATATATATATATATATTATTTTTTTTATTTAATATGACGTAAAGAACCATAACACGATTTAGGATGAAAGAAAGAAAGCTTGGCGTTTATTTATACGCAATAATTAGGAAGGATCTTTGAGCTCTAATGAAACTAAAGGAAAATAACCATAAATGCTTAAACTATTTATTCCCGATTTTTCTCATAATTACTAATTAAAATTATACATGTAATCGATAAGCTAAATAGAAATATGGTGATTCGGTATTTTATCAAGGTTTCTCGACGAATGTCTTCACAAAATTTAACTCGAAGAATAATTTAACTTATAAAGAATGGAAAATATTAATGAAATTTAGCGGAGAGTTCATAAAAATAATACAGATATCTGCGATGAGTGTTGGTGTGATTATATAAAATACATACGATCGTGAATGCTAAAAGCGCGGATGAATTGTCAGGATGTGAAGAATATTACAGCAATCAATTTTATTTAGCCACATTGAATGCATAAAAGATATAATATCCTGAAACGCAAAACAACTGAACGGGCTAATATCGAAGGTATGACGGCTAAATAATTTTAAAAAATGCCAGTGTAATTGGCTATATGAAGAGTCGATCGACAAATTGTACGAGCGGTGTGCATAGTACGTGAGTGGATAGCCGATTAATAGAGTCAAGTCGATTTGAAGTTCGAGAGTCGTCGTGGTCGTCGTCGTCGTCGTCGTCGTCGTCGTCGTCGTCGTTGTAGTCGTTGTCTGGGTAGCAACGAGCGCCTCTCGTGCAATATGTCAAAAAGCCCAGCGTGTATGGGTCGCCGGGTTCGCCATAAGTTTTGGCCCTAAATGCTGTTTGCCTTGTTCGCAGAGCCCCAGGCCTCGCTTTGCGGCAACGGCGTCGTCGAGGAGGGCGAGGAGTGCGACTGCGGCTGGGAAGAGGACTGCAGGGACTCCTGCTGCTTCCCACAGCGACGCTACCCACCCGCCGAGGAAGTGCCATGCACCCTTACACCCGGCTCGGTGTGCAGTCCCAGTCAGGTGAGTAAAATTTGTCTAGCGCGGCGGGATTTTTCCTTTGACAGGGTCGAATGGCGAGGGATTCGTGGGCGGGAGAGGGGGACGAGGGAGGAGGGCGGGAGGGTAACGAGTTGCGTTGGTCGTCGAGGTGAACGTCGCCGGGCTCGACTTATTCGAATTGTCCGATTGGCCATGAACCTTCAATAATGACGGCACTTTCATCGCCTGTCAGCGGATGTTCGGCCGAATGAAAAGTAAGGATAATAAAGCCGAGGGGATCGCCATCTTTACTTTTTTTGCGAAAAAGAGCCTTTATTAACATTCAACGCGTAGGGTAGACATATAGGGAGATAAAATTTTATATCTAAACAGTTAAAGTGCTGCTTGGCGGTCTTTATAAAAGTGAAAATAAATAGTCCTTTGTGCTTTCGAATGTGCTAAAAATTTACCGCTTTCGGATTAATGTTTTGATAAAAGCGCAGTTACGTTTTAATATTTATTAAGTAACTATTAACTTTCGTTTAGAGAACTTTCGAGCTTTTGTAAAAGAACAAAAACTATGCTAATGTAAAGTCAAATAATTTATTTAAATGGCCATTAATATTGACATTTCACTTTACCACTTAAATAAGAGAAAAGTTACATTATTTGTCAAAGCTAATGTTGGTTAAAAAATAAAAAATAAAAAAAAAAAAAAAAAAAAATAGGAAAGAAAATAAATATGATATTCTATTAAATAATTAAATAAATTGAATAATACAATTGGAGGTGGAGTCATAACTTTATAATTCAACATAATATCAGGAAGATAATATCAATATTTTAACGATATGCATTAAAATTTGAATAAATCATATTATTTGACTGTTACATTATGAATATCCATTAAAAAATAATCAAATTTTATTTACATAATTGACCGACTATATATATGTATATAACTTGAAATACATTTATATGAAATTCATTGTAATGACGCTAGCAGTGAAATTATTTCATATGTCTTATTCCACTTGAACTCTCAAAATATTTCTACGATTTCCGTTATTATTGAGTATAGGAGTAATATCAGGAAGCTGTAAACTTATATAATCTTAGAAACTTGAAAGCGCATAATGATAAATCAGAAAAAAAATATCGAAGCAACGTGCGCTTTAATATATAATTTAACTTTACATTCGGCTATAGTAAAGAGCCTAGTATAGCGAGAATTTGAAAAGAGGAAAAATGAAGAAGGAGAAAAAGAAAAAAGTCAGCTGCTTGCTCGAAGGGCGATGCTTGAATAATCGTTGAGCGCCCGTTCGAAAGGAGACTAAAACATTCGGCTTCCGTCGAATAATTATTTGAGATCTCCCTCGCGACGTTGGATGCCGTCTGCGAATGCATCCTATGCGAGAGAGCGAGAGGGGTAGAGAGTGGGAGAGGCACAGTGAGAGAGAGAGAGAGAGAGAGAGAGAGAGAGAGAGAGAGAGAGAGAGAGCGTTCAATGATCGCTCCGTTTTGTTTTATTTGCAGGGTCCGTGTTGCACGTCCGACTGCAGATTGAGATTCGGCGACAAATGTCGGGACGACAACGGCTGTCGCGATGCGAGTTTTTGCGATGGTCGGGCGCCCTATTGTCCACCCTCCATTAACAAGCCTAACAAAACCATCTGCAATCAAGAGCTCGTTTGCTTCATGGGGGTAAGTATTTCCGTGCTTGGATCCCGTACTCCCCCTTATCCACCCATCATCTCCTTACCTCCTCATAATCTGTATTCACCAGCTCTCTCCCCCCCCCCTCCCATCATCCTTGGCTCACGATAATAATAGTCGAAAGTCGGCTTAACAAATCGTGCGCCCATATATTCGTGACTCTATTGCTTTATATGTCTTATTAGCTTCAATGACTACTTTCGATTTTTATCAAAATTGCCGTGATCGCGCTACCTCGAGAATGTAAAGAACCCAAACAAACTTACAAACTTAAACGGTAAAGTCCACGGAATAAAGAAATATTTGATTAGCCCTGGAAATGCGGTATCCGGCATCTTGTTCGTAACAGAACTCTGTTAATAATTAATCATAAACGAAGCCCCTGTTTCGAGCGATTTGAAATGTTTATTGCAACAGAGCACGGAGTAAGTTCCCGAATCTTCACGTTTTGCCAAATCGTGGAAGCGCGGGTCCCAGAGCAAAACGTTTCCTTCGCCTCCCGTAAAATACCCGAGCCAAGCGCGCACTCCACTATCCACCCGCGTAATTCGTTGACTCGGGCGGGCACGTGAAATTCGAAGCTGACGGCTAATAATAAGTAAAGCGATTGTTTATGAAAAGCTTTAATGCGGCGTTTATCCGTCCCTCAGGAGTGCACGGGTAGCATTTGCCTCGCCTACGGACTCGAGTCTTGCCAATGCATCCCAGGAGCCGAAGATCCGCCCATCAAGGCCTGCGAGCTATGCTGCCGCTTACCGGGGGAGAATCAGCCGTGCCTGTAAGTTAATTACGCCGAGCTCAAAAACTTCATTATCTTCGTTATTTCCGGGGCCTCGAACTATGCGTTTACCGAGGCGGACGCGGATACCGCCCCAGTCATCGGCGGATTATAAAAATCGTATCTCGCCACTACTTCCTTTTCAGATGCAGCATCCACGAAATGCTCGAGATTAACTTTACGCTCTTTGCGTTGACATTATCAGTTGATTTTATCACGATAAGCTTCAGAGAAGTATTATCGATCTTTCTCGATCATTTGCCATTTTAGGATAATTTAAAAATACGTAAAGTTATCAAATGCCTCAATTAATTTCTCAGCTTTTATTCGGATGTGTGGGCGAAAGTGATAGATAGTGAGCGATATATAGCCTTGTACAATGAACGAGATGCTCGACAATGTCGTTTAATGGCAAAGCCCGATGTGCATGAAAAATTTCAGCTGGTTCGCGTTCGTTTGGAAATGTCGTTTTACTCCAACTTTATAAATATTTTTTACAAAATTCCATTATAACCGCCCAGGCATTTGCAAAAATTGTATTGGCAAATGTCTTGCTTATCGCGTTGTACGGAATTTCTCTTCGCTCCTCGTTTAGTGACTCTAAGCACTCTCTTAATTTCAGTGCTCTCTTGAAGAGTCGCTTGCCTCGAATAAAATCAAATCCCAAATTACGCGTGTTACATCGATAAATTAGCCACACACGGTGGATTTCAATTGTATACGCGAGCGGTAATTCATATATCCTCGAGAAAAAAAGAAGAAGAAAAAACATCAAATATCAGCCATGTGATAAGCAGCATTGATATTGAGGGGTGGGAGGAGGGGGAGGGGGAGGAGGAGGAGACAAAATTTAACGCAAAGGCGAGGAAAAACCGGAAGAACAACGCTACGCGCGTCACTACGAGCTCCCTGTAGTACAATAAAGTAGATTAAGAAACCGCTCATGAAATTGCATATAGAGAAACTATAGAGAAACTAGCTAAAAAGAGATAAGGGAACTTATGTCAATTTAATCGAATTGTCCAGAGACTAATACGGCGGATGCGTTTGCTCGACCTCTCCTCGAGCGCTCGGTCGGTGCATTTCGTCGTAACTTGATTACAGGGAGGGGAACTAGAATCTACAGAGAAAGAGAAAGACCGAGAGAGATGGCGAGCGAATGAGAAGTAGGGAGGGGGAGAGAGAGGGAGAGGGATAAATATGCGTCTAGGTGCGCGGGCGGGTAGGTACGTACATAACATCAGTTGAAGTCAGCATATTAATGACCATAATGGTTGAAATATTAGGAAATAAATATTTTGAAAACACATAAAGCTCGTGTGTTAGTAATTATTACATCTCGAGACGGCACTTTAAATATAATAAACAATTAAAGCAACATTGTCATTATAAATTTTTTGATAATTGAGAATTTATCTTTATTAATCCCGCAGTACAAATTATATTTTAAAATGTGCATCACACGTAAAATCATTGAAAGTATTGCTTAAAAATCTATAAACATATATAATAAAATAATGCCAGTATCTAATTAAATAAAATTGAAAGTTGTAAATGCCTGTGTTTAACTTTATTTTTTTTTTTTTTTTTTTTTTTTTTTTTTTTAAATCAATTTTGATTATTTATTGACCTATTGATAAGAAATCTATAATTTATCAAAAGAAAAAGTAACATCCACCCAATAATAATGACCTACTAATAATAATAACACGGTTTAACCAATTTTTCAATTTTTATAATTCATTTTTTCGCCAATCAAAGAGACTCTAGGAGAAAAAAATTTACAAAAGTGTCTTACATTTTTGAAACAATGATTTATTGTTGTGATTAGTGAACTTTTCGCACAAATAACTTTTATACGCATGTATTATCGAAGCCACGTAAACAAACATTTTTTGAAAACAAATATTAATATTTATTCAATAATTACTTGAAATTTGAAATTTAAAAACAAATTTATAAAACGATAATTTCACGTGTCGTGGTTATGAAATATTTAACAAAATAAAATGAAGAACAATTGGAACGTAATTTTAACATTGAATTTTAATCTCTCTTTCTTCAAATAAAGCAGAATAAACACTCTATATTAATTAATGTATTGTATGCACGTAATCGATAAAGCAAGTTAATTTATTAAAATTATAAAAATAAATCATTGATTATTTTTTTGAATAATAAAAACTAAAATTAAGTAAATGTCGACGTTTTAATTGTAAATGAATAGCCAATTAATTAAGATCTGCAAATTCACCTCTACAAATTAAGTCTACAAGCACTACTTTTTATTAGCATTAATTAACGACAAATAATAATAATATTTAATGTTTAAGTAATTAATAACTATCAGAAATAAATTCTCGTTAGAGGAAAAGTGCAAATTGAAAGTTTTTATTCATTAAAGACGACGATGATCCTATAACTTTTATCATTAAAGAATATATTAAAGTCCTTTGATAGAGATTTGTAATCTGAGTTTCACTTTATTTCATTAGAATTTATAGTGACATTTAAATTTTTATTAATTATCTCTCGTAACGAAGTATTATAAATTGATTTAAACTATGTCCATAATAAATAAATAAATAAATTACAAATATGATGTAAATGTAAGTACGTTAAATTTTTATAAAGACTATCATTATGATAATTTACCTACAACTTCATAAAGTTTGATTGACATTATATCTCCATTGCAGTATAAAATTTCATCGGCTTTGTAGGTTGTTCATTAAAAATAATAATAATAACTTTTTAAAAGGTGCAATACGAGTTTTATGCGAGTGTTCGAAAATGACGTAATTTTCTTGGCTCGAACTGCCAATGCTTCAATATCTTATTTTTGCCGGCCGCGCTGGTCCAATGCCGGAAAGGAGTTAAGTGAAAGGGATGTAGAAAATATAGTACGTTTTCATTTGATATTTTACAATTTATAAAACAATTACATATTGATGTCTTGGAATCTTCTGGAGTCTAATGTGAAGATGCGATTTCTTGGAACGTTTCTTGTGACGGATGTTTCACTACACAAGATGATCCTTGAATCATGGACGGACTGGACTTTGTGCACTCACAGTGATACGGTGACCTTGATCCGATCCTGGGATGAGTAGTTGACGATTATTCGCTCACCAACGAAGGAGATTTAACGTTGACACCTATCGACTGCTGCACAAGAGAGGGTCGATGTATCTTCCTTTTATCAGTGGGTGGGTGGTCACTACTTAACAAAAACTTGGTCACTAGTTTTCACTTGAATATTCACCCCACGCGGACAGCGAAGGAATTAGACTTTGACAATGAGAATATCGAAAAAGTGGCAGTTTTTTCAATTGTGTCGTGTCTCACTCACCCCTCAACGAGACTTAGCTTAGCTGACGGGTGGGGGCGGAGGGGGGTGTTCTTGGTAATGCGTCTTTGCTTGGCCCTGCGCAA